GAACAAAGAATCAATCAAGCTTCAGGACCCAACCTCTCAGAATACTTGCAGAAGTTCCAAATTGTTATCTTGTTAATTACATTAGCAAATTTTACAGTAAATAAATTTAAGGTGCCTAAAATGAAATTAATTCACCATACAGCACATAAGTAAAAGAATGAATACTTCCTCTGTTCCAAAATAATAGCATGTGTATGACTTTTGTAGTCAAACCTTGTCGACTTCAAAAATTGTTTTCTATCATCATATCTAAGTAAAAGCATGAAATACACAATGCAGACATACTTCTATGAAATTCAAGCAAAAAAAATTCTTTAACACTAGTTTGTATTTTAATATAAGAGTGATTAAAGTCCAGGTTTCCTAATTTAGAGCACAGTTTGTGAAGATAGGACAGGTAAGCAATTCATTTGGCATGCTCGAGTATTACACTTGAGTGTTTGCATATACAAGTGTACAGTTTTTATTAACAAATGCCGTACATGATAATATGCAAATTAATGGACTAGCTACAGAAGGCATTAGTCCTGAACAAATTTGGCACAAAAGGCCACAGAGAAGCATGGCACAGGAAACCCATGTCTACGAAGCTTATAAGTTATATAGCCTATATTAGTCAGTCTGAAAAAAAAAAAAAAAAAAAAAAATTATGAACATTTGGGATCTTCAAGGCTCCAATTTCTGTTTTTGTGCAACTAGAGGTTGAACTTTTAATATAGATTTGTTATCGCAACACTTTTACTTTTAACACTATTAAAACATGCAGCAAATATGGTTTGGGAAGTGATGCTGCTATACTTATCAGTTATCAATAACAAATTTATTTAAAAAGTGAAGTTACATGGGCAAAAGATCTAATTTTTGGGTGCTAACATTAGACTTTTCAGATCACAAACCAATTGTCGAGTGGAAGCTATCCGAGTTTAATTCTAGCTCTCTAAGAAGAAGCTTAATTGGCAAATAATGGCCAACATTTTGACCTCATGCAACAATTTGCCCTATACAGGTAGCACAACAAGGAAGTCAAGTGTTTACAGTGGAAAACATATAATCCATGTGTCTCACAGAAAACAGCCACCTTAAGCACCTTACAAGGATTACTGTGGGCATCAATTGTCATTAAGAGCACTTTCTGGTGTGTTTCGAAAGGCTTCTTTGCTGTGGTCACAGCAGCAAGGCAACACTTTTGGTACCAGCCACAGCTTCCAAAAACAAGATTTGTAACAGTTCAAGTTCCAAAGAATTCAATTGCAAAGAAGGGGCCACATCAGGATTTCCACATACATCAGAAGAAAACTGAAGTAATATGTTATTACAAAACCTCTTAAGTCTTACCTATACAATCTCAACCCCACTTAATAAATGATAACTGGTTTTTTAATCACCTTAATGCTTTAATTTTTAGCGATGCTCAAGGAAAAAAGATGCTTGCTTAGTTGCTTCATTAAAGCCCTTAGGGCCTTAAAATTGAAAAATAAGTGCCAGGACCAAATTAATGTGATTATGTGAAGTCTAACTGGCATTACCTAAGAGTGTAGAAGAGCATCCCTTTGAAGTAGATGGTCCATCTCCATATCAATTTACTCCTTTACCAATACCCCCCCCCCTCCCAAACAACAACAACAAACCGTTTGCTATTTACCTCTCTGTTCATCCAAGTCATGTTTCTTAATACAGAGAAGTCAACGCACAAAAAGCAGGCACCGAGCTAAATTTGCAAGCTGAATCCATGTTTCAATAATATGTACATGAATTGTAACATAAAACATGAGAAATTTAACAGTTCAATATAAAAATACTACTCTGTATATGGCATTAGTACAGTAGTGCACTAGTGCATGACCTGACAGTTTTCGAACGTACATAAAATTCAAACATTGTCCACAATAGGGGTCCACATGTAGGAAGCAAGATCAAGAAGCAAAGAGACAGCATAATGAATAGATAGTCAGCAAAATAAAGAATAGTACTAGGACAATAATTGATCAGTAATGTATAAAGCATATCAGCAATGGAAAAGAGCATTATAGATCTTCAAACATAGGACCAGTGTCAAAATTCCAATCATTACCTGGCATTTCCCATTGCGACACTCAAAGCACTTGCACTTCTGTTGGAATTACTGGTATGGTTATCATCTTCTATAATTTGTGTAGTAAGAGAAGATGAATGTCCAACAGCTGGATTACCATTAGAAGAAGGTTGTCTGGATGGCGAAAGATCTTGTTCGGAAGATTGGTTACGATGAAGATAACGCCAATAGAGAAGAGGGAGAGTTGCAACACACCCTGTAGCATAACCCACAATCCAAGCAAATAATGGAGTTCGTGGATGCTCGTGCCTCGACAAAGATAACACTATGATAGAAGCCACAATCTGACCTAAGGTGAGAGCTAGTTCAATAGATATCCACAACCCTGAATTTAGTGGGCTTCTGCGCCTTCGGCTATGACCATTCCCTCTTCTGCTTGATGAATTCCTGGAGGTTGAAATGTTGGAAAGAGGAAGTGAAAGCTGAGAAACCGAAGCCCTGGCACTACTTGAAGGCCTGTCTTCAGGTTGAGTAGAGTCCAATTCATTAGAAATTCTATCATGAGCAGAACCAGAAGAAGCCGCCTCTAAACTCCTCCTTATGTCAATCACATGCTCATTCTCATTTCTTCTTTCTGGTTGCTCCATCAATAACGGGTATTTATCAGATTGGCTATTACATTGATAATCTGCAAACCGCATGTCCATTCAAGACAATCGATAGAAACGGGAGGAATGAATGCATGGAGATTCGATTTAAGACCGTAGAAATCAAAATGTTCACTAATGAACCTGCCTAAAGCGATAACTTGATACCACCAATAACAAGCTATTGACTAGTCTACAAGGTACACTGAATCTTAAGTTCTTAACCCTGGTCCTTCTGTTAATAGAATAAACAAACAACACTGTCAGACACTCAGACTTAAAATTTCTGTTCTCTTTCAAATGTAGAAATTTGTTCAATACATGCAACGGAAGCCTTTATAAAAACCTCAAAAGTACCAAACAAATTAAAGAATTATAATCCAAGAAATTATACAATTTCACCAAGTTCAGCTTGCTAGTTCTCAAAATGCAACCCTGTTTCTAATCTTTACACTACATCAGAACCCAAGGCAGTACAATTACAAGCAACAGATGCTAAACTACTTAAATTCCCCCACGAATCCGCAACCACTTACCAACCGAGCAAAAGGCACAATGAAGAACTTAAGTTTGCTCCAATTCCCAGTTTTACAAGAATTCAAGGGTCACAACACATGATATATAAAACTTAAAACAATTAAAGAGTTCATACAGAAAATAACCCCTAAAATTTCAGCAAAATCATCAAAATGCTAAGCCCAGATTATTACACCAACCCAGAAATTTTCAAAAATTGTATTTCAGCAAAATTACAAACAAGAAGAAAACCCCACAAAATAGATTAAAATCAAAAACTACCCATCACAGAAAAATTAATCAAAATCACTTAAAATTCTCCCAAAAAAAACCTAAATTCAAACTTTGACTAATAATCAGTACTAACCCAAGATGAGTCAACAACACACTGATTAGATTCAAAATCCCTAAAAATACAATCAAACCCCAGAAGAATTAACAGATTTAACTTAAATTTCAGAACTAAAATTGACCCAATTCATATCTCAAAACAGTATAATTAAATTTTCAAAGCAGCTTAACAAACACAAATCTATCCACCTACCATTATTATCATTACTTCTATTATTATAGCTCAACAAAATCAAAGAAAAACTTACCATAAAAATGCTGATGACAAAATTAATGAGGATAATAATTTTGCAGTGATTTTATAAGGGGTTAAGCAACTGGGTTCGATTTTTTTAATTTTAATTTTAATTTTTTGGGAGTTTACAGATTTACGCAAATTCAACAAATGGCAAAAAGAAAAAAAATGGAAAAGAGTAAAAATAGCGTCAGCAAAATTATTCTTTGTGCTTACCTATTTTGCTTGGCCGCGTCGTTTTGGAATATACTTGGACTGCCTTTGTGTGTCAGTCAGCAAGAGATGCACATTAATGTCTTTGATTTTTCAAACATTATCTTTTCTTTTGCTTTTTTTTTTTTATTTTATGAAAATAAAGTTTATATAATAAGGTGATGAAAATTGAAAAAAAAAAATCTTAATCTTATTGATTTTTTAAAAGAGGTGGAAGAAAGAAAGAAAGAAATTTCAGTGAAGTTTCTGCTCTAAATCGTTTTCCTTCTTATTGTTTTCTTTTGGAAGATACTTTCTTTTGTCTTTTGAATATTCCGTCGCGCTTTTGTTAATGCATAATTTTATTTAATTATTTAGGATTGTAAATAAACTATTGAGATAACTCATGTTATCTCAAGTGATTATGTTTTTCCTTATATGCGTACTAAAATATTGTCTTCATTCATATAATTTGGCTTTTTGCACAATTTAGGTAATTCAAAAAAAGGTAAAAATCGGATAAATAAAGCGTAACCTTAAAAGATTATGTCAAATTATATACTAGTACTTAATTAAAAGTTGTTAAATGTGAATACTCCATTTTTAAAAACGAAGGAAGTACAGTAGTAATTAAAGCAAATTTTCAATGTATTTTGAGTAGAAAAATGGAAGTTTTATTGACTTAATTATTCATTACTCAATCGCCACATGTACATGGTAGGAAAAAATTTCAATTTTAGATTTGGCAACTTTATAATTTAATTAATAACTTGGTTTTGAGGAATCTAATTTATTTATTTTTAACACAGAAAGGAAAAAACTTATATTACATCAATATGACAGGCGCCATATTAGCAAAATACAAGTAGTAGAGTTTTATGTTATCCACCATAGAAGTTCATAAAAGCAAACTAGATTAACAGCAAAAGCATTCATGAAAGCTAAGCGCCAGCTGACAAAAGCTTGCATAAACAAAACAGGTTGTTCAAGAGAAGAAGAGGGCGCAAAAGCAGGAACATGTTCAACACTAAGTAGCCACCATCTCAGGGATTTCAGAGACATATGATTCGAAAAGCTGAGTTGGAGGGTAGTGGTAGAGAGCTGGTTGACCTGGATTTACTTTAGTTATGTCAATTGTTGCTAGTTTGTCAGCAACACATTTAACATATCTGCTTACATGGAAGATAGAGACCTTCCAGGTTCTTCTAAGAATGGAGGCAACATCTCTTATAATATTCCCTATGTCATGATCTTTGAAAGAATCAGGGTCTTCCAACATCTTCTTTAAGGCAGCCGCATCGGTTTCAAGCTCCAAAAGCTTGATTTCCCTTGCCCAAGCAATAAGTAAACCTTCTTTGATAGCTAAGAGTTCAGCAACAACAGGAGTGATTGCACTGTAGTTAGCAGCATAACCAAATTGCCATAGGCCTTTGTCACATCTTTGGACACCACCCCCACCAGCATTATTAATGCCTATCCAAGATCCATCAGTATTGAGCTTGAAGTACCCCTTATGAGGAGGAGCCCACATTCTGGGAATAGAATCTGAAGAGGATAGCATGCCAACCCCTTCCTGTTTTAAATTAAGAGTGTGATGGTAATCCACCCAGAATTTATTAAAAGTAGAGTTTATAAAGATCATTTTTATTTCAAAGATAGCCATGTTCCTGGTTTTCCATAAATGCCAAATGCTCACTACAAAGATAATTTTCCAAGAATATCCATTATTTAAATTAAAAGATAGCCAATCTGAGAGAGTAGAGTTATAAAAAGAGTAATAATCGAAATCTACAGGAGCAAGATTTTGGAAAACCAAAGACCAAAAGGCAGAAGAATTAGGGCAGTCCCTAAATACATGAATAGTATTTTCATGGGAAGCTTCACATCTCATACAAACAGGATCAAAGAAAGGGATTTTTTTTTTTTGAAGAGTAGTACCAACCGGAAGGATATCCCTCACTAGATTCCAAATTAGCAATTTATACTTAAACGGAACTTTAATCTTCCACAAATTCTTCCAAGAAGAGTTAGATAAGAAAGAGGAGTTAAGATTATAGGAAGGGTTATTAGAGTTATAAACAGATTTAATAGTAAAAGACCCTGATTTGTCCAGGGTCCATTTAATTAAGTCTATCAGAAATATCAGAAATATTAACAAGGGAAGGAAACAGATTTAATAGTAAAAGTCCCTGGTTTGAGGAATCTAATACTTCCTCCGTTTCTAGAAACTCGCAACAATTTGACACTGTCATTATTCATATACTCCCTCCGTATTTTATTGCTTGCTCCAATTCTCCATGTGCAGAATTTTAAGAGGAATAGTATAAAGTAATAAAATATTGTGGAAATGGGATTGTTTAAAAATAAAAAAATCTAAAAAGCAAAAATATGCATAAGTGGGGAGGAGAGAGAATATGAAAAATAAAATAAAATATGATACAAGTGGACCACTAGGGGAGAGAAAAATAGTAAAATATTGTTAAAGTTTCTATAAAAAAAAATGGAGCAAGTAATAAAATACGGAGGGAGTATTAGTTTTGACTGTATTTTTTACTAATATACTCCCTCCGTTTTTTTTAAATGCATCACTTGGTGATGCACGGAGTTTTACGGGAGTAATATAATATTGTGAGTGTATAAATAATTTATTATATTAAAAGTAAGTTGGGGACCATGAAAGAGAAAAGTATGTGAGAGAGGTACATATATTTATTATTTAAGTGGGGACCATGGAAGAGAGAGAAATGATAAAATAATTTAAGTGGAGTTTAAAGTAGGAGAGAGAAATAATAAAATATAGTATAAAGTTATTGAATATAGAAGTGATGCTTTAAAAAAAAAGGAGGAGGGAGTAAATAAATTAGATGCTATTGTGCATAATTTATTTTTTTTTTTTTTTTTGAAAGCTTGTGCATAATGTTATTGGATTAGACTTGATGCATGTTTTTAATATTAATTTTTTTCATGATTCTTATTAATACATAATTGTATTTATAAACTTGTGAATTGACACGTATCAGTCAAATTATTACAAATATTTAGGAAAATAGATAGTAGTTTTAAGGCTCGCGATGTTTTAGGTAATTGCATGAATAGTATTTATAAAGCTATGAATAAATGTCATGATCTTATTCATTTTTTAAGTTTCTTTTTGCCCCAATTTCACATTTTGCCTTTTTTTAATGTACTCATTTAATTTTTAAATTCGCTGATAAATTAACAAGATCCCATATAGTGAGATATATATATATATATATATATATATATATATACTTTTTTTGAGGGCATATCTTTGTCTTATATATTTATTTGATTGGGTATAAGATCATGTTTACACTAAAAAATTAAACACAATCTCACGTAGCTATATCATCTTTACACGAAGATGTGGTCTTACAAGAGTAATCCTTGAATCCAACAACCTTTCTTTGGTCTATCGTCTATCCAATGATTCGATTCATTTGACAAAATTCCATTACTGGCCTGGGAAGATGTTATATATGTTTTATAGCTCCTATATATATATATATATATATATATATATATATATATATATATATATATATATTGTGTTTTCATGGTTTCATGTAATTTAAGAGGGAATACCAATTTTGTTGCTCACCACCCAACTAGATTAGTGTCCTTTAGGGATGAACAAATTTGAGAAAATTATAGTCAGTGTGAGATTTCTCCCTATGTAAATTAATATAGCATTTATCTTTGCTCAAAAAAATTAAAGATTCCAAACAAGAACAACTTAGATAATAGAAATGCAACTAATAATAAATTTCATTTATTTATTGAGAAAGTTTTGCGTGAGATCGGACTCACCGCGAGTCCAATATATCTGACATTAACAATCTAATATCATATATATATATATATATATATATATATATATATATATATATATATACACTACCTCCGTTAAAAGATTAACTAGTGTAATGGGAAGTAATTAAAGAAAGGGGAGAGAGAAAATGGGACCACTCCACTTAAAAAAGGGTGGGGAAATCTGATTTTATTAGGAGGGAGAGAAAAAATGGGACCACCCCACTTAATAATTCAAATCTGATTTTTTAAGTAAGGGTATATAAGTCTTTTTAAGCTTTTTTGTTTACTAAAATAGGAAAGAAAATAGAAAGTTGCACATAACCTTGATTATCCGTTTTTGGCAAAAGTAGCACATAACATTTAACGTAGGTTGTATAATCTAATAATCTAATGTCAGATATTAGATTATTAATGTCAAATATTACATTATTAATGTTAGACATTAGATTATTAATGTTAGACATTAGATTATTAATTTAAGATATATTGGACTCAATGTGAGTCTGACTCACCCAATTTTATTTTATTTTTGTTATTTAAATGTTTAAAATGAACTTTTCTTTTTTTTTTTTTTTAAAAAAAAAGAAAAAGAAAAGAACTTGTTTATAAAGTGTTTATAATATAAGGTATACTTTTTGAATTCCTAATTTAATACACTCTAACATCAATAAGTATGTTAAGATGTTGGTTCTTTAAATTAAAAACAATTTTCTACATAATCATCTTGTTAAAAATTGATCATTGTCCAAAAACTTGATTTTTACCACAAAAAAATCTAAAATTGGCTAAAAAAAATCTAGAATTTTTGAAAACAAAACTAAGTAGTATATATATATATATATATATATATATATATATATATATATATATATATATATATATATATATATATATATATATATATATATATATATATATATATATATATATATATATATATATATATATATATATATATATATATATATACTACTTAGTTTTGTTTTCAAAAATTCTAAGAAATAAATCCAAATATGCATAAATAAAACTTTTGTTGTTTCTAAAAGATAAATAGATACCAAAAGATGCTTCTTAAGTTACAAATAAAAAGCCTTTTGATTTTTCTTTTAGAAAGAACTATATTAGACCTGTGCGATGCACGGATTGAAAAAATTATTAGAATGAAATAAATTGTTTCTATTTATTATTTTCCCGTACATACTTATAAATTAGATCATAAAAACATATCTTTCATCATAAATTACTAAGTAACAAAATATAAAAATAAAAGCCAATCTGATCTAATCAAACCATACGCATACGAATTTATATATCTAAGAGTTTGAAATATAAATTAAAAATACATGTAACTTAGATAAATTGAAGCGATATAATAAAAACAATAAATAAATAAATTGAAGCACCTTGGAAATACTGCGAAACAATGGTAACATTTAACAACAACATTAGTTCATTTTTGTATAACAAACATCCATATTATTATTACATGACTTCATAGCTAGGTTGCTTGCACAATCCTTAGTTTACACACACAAATAACAGTACAACCTTAAAAAAAAAATTTAAAAATTTGTAGTTACCTAAAATGTTTTAGCTCAATATCAATTTTATTTATTCCAACTAAAAAAATTTATTTATTTATTTATTGACACAGTCAAAGATTGAAATAAAAATAATTAAAAATAACCAATTTTATAAAAAAAAAACTAAAAATAAATATCACATCATAAGTGCACTAGGCGGGATTTTTTTTTTATGAAAGAGCGACACATATACAGTTTGAGGAAAGGATGATGTCAGCAATATTTTTTATGAAAGAGCGACACTTATATAGTTGATAAAAGTGGTAACGTGTGATAATGTATCATTATTGTGATAACTTCAAAAAACTAACGGTGTTATAATGAGTTGGGTATTGAAAGAAAGGATTCCTAGTGACCTATGAGGGACTTACCAAATGACTATCATACGGAGTGTTGCGGTTCTAGTCACTTTTACTCACTCTTCCCATACTAACATTAATTTATCACCTAATTCTCTCGTCTTTTATCTCTCAATCATTATATTTTTGTCATTTTTTAACATAATACCCTGTAAGACATTGGGTAAAATGTCTCTCAATTAGGCATACATCGAGACTTCCTTGTACCCCAAGTGGAGTAAATTTGTAAACCTCAAAAGTACCAAATGAAGTCAAGCAAACTTCATGTACCCAAAGTGAAGTTTTGTAACAATTCTAACACCAAAGAATTTTTCCCCCCTAAATTAAATTCAATCAAATACAAATTAAAGTACAAAGTACGAGACCTATGTTTAATGTGAGAAATAATGTTCTTTTGATTGCCCAATTAGGGTCTATTGTTACGACTTTCTTTCGGGGTCCACCGAACTCGTACAATATTCATACGGTCCACGTGTAATTTTAAAATTGACACTGAAAGCAAAGTAGTGAGGAAAAATACATTAAATGAAAAGTATTGTAATAGAAACTTTACAATTATAGTAAAGCTCTCTAATAACAAGAAACTAAAATAGTTTTAATGGTGACAATTAAGGCAGCTAATAGATTCGAAGAATCACCGTTGATAATAAAATTCCTCCTCCCCGTGGCAATGTAAGGTAGTTAATGATTTCAGTTAATGAAATGTGGTGAACCGTGAACCGATATGAGTGAGGTGACGTGCTAAATGAAGGTAC